TCTAAATAAGGTTTAGGGAGCAGTTTATGGCCTGGTCTTTCAGCCAGGCAGTCAGAGGGGAGAAGCAAGTAAAGAAACTGAGAAGGTATTGACTATAAAAATCTGAGTCAGTCTGCAGGATAAGATTTTAGGTGATCAGCTTATCTGGTGGAAGCAGGATGTTTCATGGGTTGGAAACCAAACAGAGCTGCTGCTGGAAAATGAACAACCATTAATTAAGCTTACTCTCGGCTAGGCCCTGTGCAAAGTGCTGTGAATATACAAACAACCAAAACCATTCCTGACCTCAAGGAGCTTACATTCTTTTGTGAGACTTAGAGATGAGCAAATATGGGTTGCATACAAAATAATGTATAGTAATTAGAAGAGAATATTACAAATTAGAGAATCAGGAAAGACTGGGCATGGAGGGGGTACTTGAGCTGAACCTTGAAGGTCAACAACAAATAGGATAGGTGAAGAAGCCCTTTCTGTGCACAGAATCTTTTGACTTGCTGGGAACAAAGATTGGGGGAGAACTATTGAGCTATCCTTTAAGAATCATTGCTGAGGGCTTGGTCAATGAGTTGAGCACAGGACTGTCTTGGTCCCTTGCACATAGTTGACCCTTAATTAATGCTTTTGAGATGTGTTTGGGTTTGGCAAATTTGTTTTGTTCTACTGCTGATTGGGATGGCAGGGGTCAAGGGTTACTTAGGGAGGGTAAGGAAAGTGAGAAGGAGCCAATCATAGATAGCCAACTGCCCACAGCTGATTATTTCTAATTTATCTTGTAGCTTATTTATTTATTTATTTATTTAGGTGAGGCAGTTAGGGTTAAGTGACTTGCCCAGGGTCACACAGCCCAGGATCACACAGCTAGTAAGTGTTATATGTCTGAAGCCGGATTTGAACTCAGGTCCTCCTGACTCCAGGGCTGATGTTCTATCCACTGTGCCACCTAGCTGTCCCTATCTTGTTCCTTTTTATACATAGTTGTTTGCATGTTGTCTCCCCAATTGGACTGTGAGCTCTCAAGGGCAGGGATGGGGCTTTTGCCTGTTTTTGTATCCCTTGCATTTAACATAGGGCACACTATAATTGTTTAGTGGCTGATTGACATTAATGGTCATTTATTCTCTAGTAGAAGGAAAGCTTCTTTAGAGCAGAGATTTTTTGGGAGGAGAGGAGTCAAGAAGGGTGGGTAGGATAAGGCAGTAAGTAGTTGATAATAGATAATCATTCCTGGCCAAAGTAAGCACTTAATAAATTCTTTAGCATTCATCATTTATCATCAAGAACTTTTAATTACCTTGTAGGATGTAAGCTCTTTATGAGCAGAGACTATTTCTTTTCCAGCTTTGTATCCCCACTGCTTGCACCTAAGTGCAAGCACTAGGCTTGGAGTCAGGTAGACCTGTGCCCAAATTCTGCCTTAGACACCAGCTATGTGACCTTGGGTAAATCACTTAAACTTTCCTAGCCTCAGTTTCCTCTTCTGAAAATGGAAATAATCATCGTACCTACCTCTCAAGGTTGTTGTGAGAATCAAATGGATAACACAGGTAAAGGACTTTGCAAGAGAAAATGCTATGTAAATGCTAGGTACTATTATAAATAATTTTTGAATTGAATCTATATCCAAACCCCTCATTTTACAGAAGAGAAAACTGAGGCTCAGAAAGTGAAATAACTTATTTAATATCCTCTAGGTAGTAAGTGGCAGGGCTGTGATTTGATTCTAATGCTCTGGCCCAGGATTCAGCATACTATATTACCTGTTAAAGCAATGAATGTCTTTATTGCTGTAAATAGGTACGATTTTCTTCAGTTCTCAAAGGCTCTACTTCTGTCCTGCTTCATACTGAAATTCAGAGGAGGCACATACTGCCTCCCTCAGGATAAGACTTGGCATGGCTGACCCAGACTTCCTACCTGAAACTAGTCAACAATAAAAATAGTTGATAGTTACATAAAACACTTTGCAAATATGGTTTCATTTTAGCTTCATAACAAGCTAGCCAGGTATGTGCCATTGTTTCATTTTATAGATTAAGAAACAGGGTCACAGAGCTAAATTGGTTTGCCCAGGGTCACACAGTGAGTATATGTCAGAGGTGATTTGAACCCAGGTCTCTGCTGATTCCAGGTCTTTGCTCTGCCTCTCAACAACAATCTACCTAGCCCTTAATCACTGAATAGGTGTTGCTTCAGACAAGCTAAGACCTGGGAAAGACCTTAGTTTATAATGGCCAAGGTCACCCACTGCATCTTAGACCATTGCCAGTCGTCTTGACTTTTGTCTTTCCACTGGATTCCAATGACTCTGGAGGAGAGAGTGAGGCTGATGACTGTGTCACTTAAATCCAATTCACCTGCAAGTGAAGACACCACCCTTGTGATGACATTGGTTCTCTTTGAGAATGAAGGATGAAAAACAACACATCGGTATACTTTGTATGTATCACAAAGCTCGAGTCAGAAGGGACCTCAGCATCTCTGTATTTTGACCCATGCCCCCAAATGAACGCTTGCTTTAACATACCTGACAAATGGACTTCCAGCTTTTGCTCGATGATTTCCAATGAAAGAGTCTCGTGGGGAAGCCAGCCCATTCCACTTTTGAATAGCTCTGTTAAGAATTTTTTTCCTGATATCAAGCCTCATTTTGCAACTTTCACCCTTGGCTCTTAGTTCCAACCCATGGGGAGAGGCATTCCAAGTCTAATCTTCCTTCTATATGGCAGCCTTTTAATTGCTTGAAGTTAGATATCATGTTCTCCCCTCCTTGCTTCAGCATAAACCAGTTCCTTCAACGGAACCTAATGTAATATGGGTCAAGAACTTTCACCAAGTTAAATTTTTTTCTTTTTAATTATCACGAACTTGGCAAATAACAACAATCACAATGATTTCCATAGAAACAAAAGAATAGAAAAGAAGGATTACATATTAAGCTGTTAAATTCTATTATGTGTAGTTTGGGTTTTTAAAAGTGTATATTAGGGGCAACTAGGTGGCGCAGTGGATAGAGCACCTGCCGTGAAGTCGGGAGGACCTGAGTTCAAATCTGACCTCAGACCAAACACTTGACACTTACTAGCTGTGTGACCCTGGGCAAGTCACTTAACCCCAATTGCCTTAAAAAAAGGGAAGTATATATTAACTCTAACTTGGGGGTTCCACCACCAACTTACTTGAATTCTTTCCTGAACTTCCTTCTGCTGTCTTCTGTGTATTTGTAGAATGTTTCATTGCAGTTCTTTTCTTCTTTCAAGCAAAACTGAGCCACACATTGACTATGTTAGAAAACGAATGTCTTCTGCACCTCTAGTCCATCTCTTGTCTGTTAAAGAGCTTTCATGAAGTTTCTTTTCAGGAAAAATTTCCTAACAATTAGAGTTGTCCAGTAATGGAATGGACTGCTTTGGGAGGTAGTGAATTTCCTACCACTGCAAGTCTTCAAGAAGAAGCTAGATGACTATTTGTTGGCTATGTTGTAGTGAGGATTCCTTTCTGGTCTAGATTGGACTAGATGGTTCTTGAGTCCCTTCAAGTCTCAAAATTCTGTACTTCAGTGGCTATTCTAGTTACCCTCTTTGGAGCATTCTATTGCTTGGCATTGGTAGCCATATCAGTCAATAATGTTTTTCTTAAGTGGTGATACCCACAGCTGAACACAATGCTCCAGATATGGTCTGACTATGGCAGAGGACACTGGGACTGTCACTCTCTTGGAGCTTCTCTTGGAGCAATCACAAATGGCATTTATTTTTTTGGCTTTCATATCAGACTGCTAGCTCATGTTAAGCTTGCAGTCCACTGAGACTTTCAGATCTTTTTCAGACAAACTGCTTTCTAATTATGCCTTCCCCATCTTGTATGTATTAACATAGTGTCACAGAATTAGAACTGGAAGGGACCTTAGAGGTCAACTGGTCTATGTAGTCTGTTTATTTTACAAATGAGGAAATCGAGATCTAAGTAGATAAAGTGACTTTTCTAATTTTCTAATCTAAATTTGGCACTACCATGCCAAAATGGTATATGTGACTTTTCTAAGGTCACATACACCATTTTGGCATGATAGTGCCAAATTTAGAATTCAAACTCAGGTTTTCTGATGCTAAGGCTAGTGCTTTTTCTGCTTTACCACTATTACAAAGCTGAGTTTTCAAAACCAACTCTGAATACATCTATTTCTGTTAAATATCATTTTTATTAGATTCAATTCGATTTTTTTAACCTTTTGTTCTTTTTGGATGCCGACTCTGCCATCCAGTATATTTGTCTTCTCTTCTAGCTTTGGGGTGCAAATCTGATAAGTATACTGTCTATACTTTCATCCCAGTCTTTGATTAAAATGTTTGACATCAGAGGTCAAACACAGGTCACAGTTTGGACTATAACTTAATAAGAACAGATGCTTAGCTAATGAGTATCTTCATCAGCATTACTCAAATCCAAAAGGTTAAGTTGAATGGTATAGCGCCAGACTTGGTGTCAGGATGATCTGGATTCAAATCATGTCTCTAATTCTTATGAACTAAATGTCCAGGGGGAAATCACTTAAAGTCTATGAGCTTCAGGTCAGTCTTTTAGGCTATAAATTAGTGTTGGGTTTTCACTGATGAAACTGAAGATGATGTGATGAAATCACATCTTTGATGTGTATTTGAAGGCTTAGCCTAATGGGGCAGCAATATGTATATATTCATAGAGTTTAAGAACTGGAAGGGATATTAGAGGTGGAATACGGTCCTCCCATTTTTCAGATGAAGATAATGAGGTCTAGAGAGTTTAGATGAGTTACCCAGGGTCACAAAGGTAGTTAGTGGCAGAACCAATGTTAGAACAGACTTCTTGGATCTCAGCCTATTCCAGGCCACTCAGCTCAGTTAAGCATCCAAAGAGCCTCATCCTACACTGAAGAAGATTCCCTGATGCGCCCTAAGGATCCTTGGACCTTTCCATCTGGCCTTCAACTGCACACTGTTATCTGTGTTTTCTTTCTTTATTAGAATGTAAGTCCAGCGGTTCACTCGTAGCAACCCATGACTACTACCGAAGGCGTCTGGGTTCCACTTCCAGCAACAGCTCCTGTGGAAATGCTGAGTATTCTGGGGAGGTGATCCCCCATCATCCTGGTCTTCCCAAATCAGACCCAGGCCACTGGTGGGCAAGCTTCTTCTTCGGGAAGTCGAGTCATCCATTCATAACAACTGTATTGGAATCCCCAGAGCACTCAGGAACTTTCCAGGTTGCTCATGGCATGATCACCTGTGACCTGGCTCAGGAGGCCATGAGGAAGCGGCATGTCAGCGAGCCCAGCAAGACCAGCACTGGCCCTTCTGCATGAGCAGCAGCTCCCTCCTTGCTGCTCCCCCCACTTCTGAAGTGTGCTAGGCATCAGAGCCCATTTCCCCCTCCCCTCCCTTCCCCTCCTCTTCCCCCCCTTCTCTCTCCCACCTATTCCCTTAGAATAGATAGGCTGCTTAAGTGTAGACCAGCTTATTTTTGTGTTTTATGCTCAGTGCTAATCATAGTGTTACAACTTAATAAAGGTTTTCCATTCATTAATCCATTCATTCATCCATTTTGTAAGTCCAGTGGTCTTTCTGCAATAATAATATTAATATCTGACATTGCATAGCATTTTGAGTTTTGCAAAACACTTTCTAGATATTAACTCATTTAATCCTCACAAAAACCCTGTTGGGTGGGTCCCATTGTCATCCATATTTTAAAGATGAGGAAACTGGGGATCAAAGGGGTTAAGTCACTTGACCATGATCACAAAGCTAGGAAGGGTCAGGATTTAAATTCGTCATACAATACATAAATTAAGAAATCAAAGAAGATATCCAAAAAGTTAACTTTATTTTCTTGCTCTTCCTATTTTTGAATCTCCCAAAGTCTTGCATTTCTTGTAGCTAGGAGCCAGCCCTTAGGCTCAAACCCCAGAATTCCTTGTGCTTCCACCCAGGGCTCATAAAGCTGCACGAGACTGGCTGATTATTACTGGCTCAGAAACTGCATTTATAAGAGTTTCAAGCTGGTGGATAGCCATGCTGGATTGGCTTTGTCCACTGAAAAGCATTTCTGGAAATGAGTGTTGATATAGAGTAGGCAGCAAAGGTATTTTAACATTGGCTATGATTAGCCAATCATCACTTTGTTTGACCAACACATAGATGACACCAGTGCTCTGGGCTCTCTTGCTGGCTGGCTTGGTCACCATCTGGATTTTGAGCTGAGATATTGGCGATGCATTAGATAACACAGGTGTCTGTTTTAATGGAGTTTCCACTCTAAGGCAAATCTTGTTCCAGGTATATGCCACAAGTGCTTGGTTAAAATGATGAGAGCTCTATGTTCTGGCAATAATACGCTATTGATTTATAATAAAGGGAAGTAGAGATTTAAAAAAAACCCAGGTGATGGCAAGGTTAGAAATAAGGAACTAAGATTAATTTGACAAATCTGACTCAGGAAAAAGTCAGTCCTGGCACTGACTCCTGTTCCTGATTCTCTGTCCTGACCCCATGTACATATTTCACCGTCCACATGTTTTCCTAATTCAGGGCTGCCCTTTTTCTTCCTTTTTTTTTTTTTTTTGCTGATGCTCACTTTTTCTCTAGCAGAAAGTGAATGGATCTGTCTACATCTATAGAAAGGCAATATTTTCATGTCTCCAGCCTGAGGTTTTCTGTGATATTACAAGTTCTTTTTTTGGAGGTAGAAAGAGGGTGAATCACGGATCATAGATTTGGAATTAGAAGAGATCTTAAAGCAGGAATACTTAGGATGAGTCATACACCTCCCTAATTTCAGGGGGGCCGTGAACTCAGATGGAAAAAAATGACTCATTTATTTTCACTAATTTCTTTTCTTTTCTTTCCCTTTTTTCTTTTTTTAGGGAATTGGGGTTAAGTGACTTGCCCAGAGTCACATAGCTAGTAAGTATCAAGTGTTTGGTCTGAAGCTGGATTTGAACTCAGGTACTCCTGACTTCAGGGTCTATTTTCACTAATTTCTAACTGAAATTTAGCATTTCCTTCAGTCATGAATGTAGGTAATAAAACATTATTCCAAGAAGGGCTGTCTGAGCATCACCAGACTGCCCAAAGGGTCCATGACAAGAAAAGGTAAAAAACCCCTTGCCTCAGAGATTTTCTAATCCAATCCTCCTCATTTCACAGAAGGAGAAATGGGAGATCTAAGAGGAAAAGTGACTTGTTTGAGGTAACACAGAGAGGAAGTGGTAGAGCTAGGCTTTGACCTCAAGTTTTATGACTCCAAATCCGGTGCTCCTTCCACCCCACCATGTTTTCAAGTAGAGTTTGTTTTACCTCCACCTTTTGGAGACATTTCCTAGTAAGCAGAGGAATAGCTTGCAGAGCTCAAGAGAGGAATTTCTCAGCAGGTTTTTATAGCTGTTATATCATTTCTCTGCACAATTTAGACTGTGAGCCATGGGAGAAGCTTTTTGTGTGTATTCTGTGTGCCCTTTGAATCATGACCAGATCACGAGAGAGAGAGAGATAGAATTCATAGGGTCGTGGAGTTTGAAGTGGCCTTAGAGATTTAGGGAAGGGCAATGTGGTATAGGGAAAAGAATTCCAGATCTGGAAACAGTGTCAGAGATCTGGGTTTAAATCTTACCTCTCATGTTTGCTGTGTGATTTGACAAGACTTTTAACCTCTCTGGAGCTGAGTTTTCTCACTTGCAAAGTAGGTAGTAAATTTAGGGATATGCTGGTAAATGTTTATGAACTAGCTCACCCAAATGCATGACACATTTTTAAGTTTTATCTGCATTATCAACATTTTCTGTATCACTATCTTAAGTTCAGACAATCTGTCACCTGCAACTAAGTGAGGCACCTCACGGAGGAGTGGGAAATGAAGAAACATGGGCCAGGTGGGTCAGTGAAAGACTGAGCCATTTATTAATCTGAGGGTCTGGTTTAAATAGTGAAAGCTAACAGTCACTGTCCCTAGGATTCTTACATAACTAACCCCAGCCCTTGTGCGCAACTTTAATTGTATACACCTGCTTGCTATCAAGGTTCAAGGATAGGTCAGAGTGTTCTAACACCTCCCAGCCAGGGGAGGTTGGTGAGCCAAATATTCTGAGTAAGTGAGCCCTTAAGGGTAGGAAAAGGAAAGAGTCAAGCTCTGACCTAAATTCTTTATCCCATATTAGACTCTTCAGCTCTGACCCTCAACAACAATCCAATGTAGTAATCCAATGTAATAAACACTTATTAAGTAACTATGATGTGCCAGGCACTGTGCTAAACTGTGGGAATACAATGAATAAAAAGACAATCCCTGCCCTCAATGAGCTTATAATCTTCTTGGAAAATTTTTATATTGTACTTTTTTCCAATTACATGTAAAAGCAATTTTAATATTCATTTTAAAAAAAATTTGAGCTCTGAATTCCCTTCCTCCCTCATTGAGAAGGCAAGCAATTTGATATAGCTTATACATGTGTAGTCATGCAAAATATGTTAGCCATGTTAGTTATGTTGTGAAAGAAAATGCAAACTGAAAAAAAGAAAAATAAAATAAAAAGATAGTATGCTTTGATCTTCATTCAGACTCCAGCAGTCCCTTGTCTTGAGGTAGATAGCGTGTTTTTTTTTATTATGTGTCCTTCAGGATTGTCTTGGATCTTTGTATTGCTGAGAATAGCTAAGTCATTCACAGTTGATCATCATTCAATTTTGCTGTTACTGTGTACAATGTTCTCTTGGTTCTGCTCACTTTACTTTGTATTAGTTCATGTAAGTCTTCCCAGGTTTTTCTGAAATCATTCTATTAATCTTTTCTTAAAGCGCAACAGTATTCCATCACAGTTATATACTACAACCTGTTCAGCCATTCTCCCAATTCATGGACATCCCCTCAATTTCCAATTCTTTGCCACCACAAAAAGAGCTGCTACAAATATTTTTGTACATGTAAGTCCTTTTACATTTTTAATGATCTTTTTGGGATAGAGACTTAGTAGTGGTATTGCTGGGTCAAAGGATACACACAATTTGTGCCCTTTGGGCATAGTTCCAAATTGCTCTCCAGAATGGTTGGATCAGTTTACAACTCCACCAACAGTGTATTAGTGTCCCAATTTTCCTATATCATCTCCAACATTTCATTTTCCTTTTCTGTAATATTAGCTAACCTTATAGGTGTGAGGTGATACCTCAGAATGTTTTAATTTGCATTTCTCTAATCAATAGTGATTTAGAGCATTTTTTCATATGACTATAGATGGCTTTGATTTCTTCTTCTAAAAACCACATATTCATACCCTTTGACCATTTATCAATCAGGGAATGATTCGTATTCTTATACATTTGACTCAGTTCTCTATATATTTTAGAAATAAGGTTTTTTTTTTTCAGAGAAATTTACTGTAAAATTCTCCCCTTCCCCCACCAGTTTTCTGCTTTCCTTTTAATCTTGCCTGCATTGGTTTTGTTTGTACAAAACTTTTAAAATTTAATGTAATCAGAATTATCCCTTTTATGTTATGTAATGCTCTCTATCTCTTGTTTGGTTATAAATTCTTCCCTAATCCATACACATGATAGGTAAAATATTCCATGTTTCCCTAATTTGCTTATGATATTACCTTTTAAATCTAAATCTCTTGGCATATGGTGTGAGATGTTGGTCTATACTTAGCTTCTGCCAAATTGCTTTCTAGTTTTCCTAGAAGTTTTTTTTGTCAAATAGTGAGGTCTTGTCCCTAAATCTTAGATTTTCGGGTTTGTCATATGCTATATTACTATGGTCATTTACTACTGTGTATTATGTATCTAATCTATTCCATTGATCCACCACTTTATTTCTTAGCCAGTACCAGATTGTATTGATGATTGCTGCTTTGCAATACAGTTTAAGATCTAGTACTACTAGGTCACCTTCCTTTACATTTTACCCTCATTGATTCCTTTGATATTCTTGACCTTTTGTTCTTCCAGATAAATTTTGTTATTATTTCTTTAGGTGTAGAAAATATTTTTTTTCCTGTAGTTTGATTGGTATACCACTTAATAAGAAAATTAACTTATGTAGAATTATCATTTTTATTATATTCGCTTGGCTTACCCATGAGCAGTTAATATTTCTTTGACTTTAGTTTTGACTTTATTTGTGTGAGAGTTTATAATCTAAAGGTTGAGAAAACATGTGAAGGCTACACTAAGACTTTTGGGACACTCTGTACTTAAAGATCACTATCGTGAGCCAATTGGATTTTTTTGTCTCCAGGCTAAACATCCTCCATTTCTTCCATAGATCTTCACATGGTATGAATATGGAGTGTGACTCTCAAAATGAGAG